CAGCCTAGTTTTTCCATCCAGTTTATTGAATGAAGTACAGATTATCAAAATTTTAGATATACCCTATCTTTAATTTTAGATTATAATAATGGTTGTGTTATTTTGGGGAGGGGGTAACTTAAAGCAGAAAAATTACCTCAAATCATAACTCTTAGCCTCCTCCCAAGCACTTGTTTTCCTCTATTTCTTTTTCTTTCAAAACCCCCCAAACAACAAACACCACAAAGCAAAAAACTAAGAACACCAAAGAAAATTAAAACCATCTCTCATCTAGACTTTAAACCCAGGGTCTTATTCCCCATACAAGCACACATCTCTCACTAAATCAGAGACCTGGACCCAAAGGCAGAATTTGATTCAAACCTGGTGTAGTATAAGCACAGACTGATGGTCTCGTTTCTTCCTCAGCCTTAGTTCTTCGACATTTTGTGCTGTAGCAAGGTCAAGGCCTCTTCCTGCTTGGACTGGACACCTAGCTTGTGCTTTCAGACCGTAAGAATGAACTCTAGCTTTCATCTAACTATGGGCACCACTAAATACTGATTTGAATCCACAAGCAGGCAATTAGGGACCCAAAGACACAAATACGCTCTGCAAAAAAGGCTGGATGACCTTTTGACAACCTTCTCATTCGATGTGAGGGACAGATGGGACAGGATCCCACTAGGTAGAACTTCTGACATCATGGTGTCAGCAGACTGACCCTTGAACCCTCATACCTCACTTATTCAGTATATTTTTAAAACAAATAAGCCTCGGTCTACATAAGCTGCTTTTCTTTCTCACCTTCCAAATAGCACTAGCTAAATTAACAAAAACCATGAAGACTGCCATAATTCTACCAATGACTTAATTAGTCTGTGCTTAGCCACAGCATTTCATGTGTTGCTTTCTCATTCTGCACAAGGAACAGAAGATTTCAAAATTATATCCAAAGCGTATTCAACATTATAAGCAGACTTATATTAATCCCCATCAATTGTGGACATTTTCATCTATCTTTCACCTATTTCTGTTTACTTTTGAATATTTAGGCAACACCCACCATGCTGCAATCTTGTAACTGGGGCAGAAACTTTTAACTTCAGTGCCGTGAGTGAAGTTCATCATCCTTATTGATAACTGCCACCAAAGGGAAAAAAAGGAAGGGGGGGAGGGGGGGAGGAAGGAAGCCTGTTTCCGTAGGGGAAAAAAATCCCTCAAAACACAGAATTTCTTTACATCTCTGTAGTAATTAAAAGCAATGTCAAAGAGTAAATTTTGGGTGAAGAACTAATAGGTGAGGAGGAAAAAAAGCTGTTTTCTAAACTAGTCTTTCAACAGACTAACTCTCAAGAGAAGCCCTGGCCCCTGTTTGTTTAGGGTCTACACACTACACCGTAACAAAAGGGAACACTCCGGGAAAGGTACTGTCAAACAACTCTAGTTCAGGGGAACTGAACAGAAATAAACTGTCGCTCCTTCGAACTCGACAATAAACTGTCTGGATTTCTCAGTATTGTATGGAAAAGCCACACTTCACTTACCCGTTAAAGTAACTAAAACTTTCGTGACTCATAGTTAGTCATTTTTTTGGCAGCTGGATCTGGCTTGAACCAAGTCAAAACCACTAAGCAGAAATTCACAACCAGGAAACATTAAAGTGAAACAACTCAGACCTTTAGAAAAAGGAAAACAATGTCCTCAAGAAATAACTTGACCTGGGAACTCACTGAACCACCTACAATCCTCATGTATGCATATATTTCCAACCTATTTTCCCTCAGAGGTCCAAAGCTATTTCTTGAAGACTGAAAGCAAAAAACTTCTCAGGAAACACTCAGAGGAAACCGCTCAGTCAAGATGGGCAGCCCCGCATGGGCAAGCCCCGGAGGCAAGGAGGCAATGCTGTCCCTAAGGCACAAGTTCACCATCACAAGTCCTGCAAGCTGGGTTAGGGTCACAAGAGGAAAACAGTGAATTACACCAAAGGTGCTGGAGAACTGCAGCCAGAATATGGAACTAAGGAGAAATCACATCCCTTTATGATTCAGGTTAAATGCAGTAAAAGTAAGGAGGATGTATTTCATTCCAACAGGATCTGCAGGACCAGGACACCGCAACAGTAAGGCACAAAGATTCTAGACAAAGGCAACTGGTTTGTTTCGGTTTTTTTTTTTAATCTACATAATTTAACACTGAGTTTAAAGCTTATGGAACCACCTCAGTGCTAACTATGATGTATCTTCAGTGAAATTTATTAACCTATTCACCAGGTCTCTTGAGTTTTGTAACATGTAGCACTGCATTAATACGCATGACTGTCACAAAAAAATCCAACCAATCACTGTAGCTGTCCAAAAATAACATACCAGAAAAACACTATTACATGACGTATTTAATGTTTCTTTTCAGCACCCTCCTCAATGTATTTGGATAAGATTGTCTGGCTACACTGTACTTCCAAACCTATCTTTATCTCATTGCACATGCAGACCTATTCAGAAAGTACATGCTGGCTCCTGGAACTGCAAACCAGTTGACATAATCTTGGAGTTGTAACAAGCTTTGAACTTCCTGAAAGACAATCAAAACAAATTTAATTTCTGAAATAAAATCCACATCACACAGAAAAATCATATTATTGTAACAGATGCCAGGATACACTATCCAGAGAGAAACCAGCTTCTCACCTCAGAAAAACATGAGGAAAAAAAAAAGACCTGATTTCAGAAGACACCAATCTCTAAAAGCATCTTCTTAAAATAAAATTTTTAGCTCTAAGGCTTACTTCCATATGGTTAGTTTTTTGTTGTCGGTGGGGGTCATTTTTTTGTTTTATATTTATTTTCAACAAGCTGTGACCACTTGTTAATAACAATGCAACAAGATGAGTTTGCAGTTTCCTTATCACGATGCTGTGGACATTGGCACTAAGGCTCTGTTTCATCATTTATTGAATGCAATGGAACATTTCTAGCTTCAGACCATAGACAACTAGCTCTTAAACACAGCACAACTAGAGAAGGCACACCAAGAAAGAGACCACTGTGATTTCCCTGAATCCTCGATGCTTTAGGGAATATCCTAGTAACAAGAAAAAGCAATCAATGTGGAAGTTTTAATTCTTCTTGATCCATACCTGGATGATGTGAAATGAGATCTCAGTAAGATGAAGGCACGTGAAATAGTGTGGTGAGATCACCCAGATGTGACTGACTGTCCTGGTATCAGCAGATCATTCCATCAGCTGTGAGGCTCAGTGGACTGGACCTTATCTGACACTGGAGCAGAAGAGCTGCGTGGCTATCCAGTGTTTGGATTATAAGGTCATTTGGATACTCAGGTAGTGTAAACACCTATCAGGTTTCCTTATTTTGTATTTTCAAAATTTGGCTGCAAAATACAGCTGAAGGGCAAAGACATCATCCAGCCACGCTAGATGAATACCGAACTGATAAAGGAGTAGACTTGTAGACAGAAGGGAATACTGTCCCACACAGCATTTATATTGCTTCCACTCTGAATTTTCTGAGAACATCTATGGCCAGTTTCCTCCCAGAAACTTCTTCCAGCTGTGAAGAAAATCTCTTTTCTTTCACATGCTTCTTGTATCCTTGTCTAGTTTCATTGTGCTTTTCAGTATATACAAGCTACCATTCAAGTATATTTACATCACTGTACAACTACTGACATAGAGCATAATTTGTGGTACTGGTTTGGTTTCTTATACGCCCCCAAAAGCTGGTATTTGTACAGTCTAACCTTCAAGTACTTCGCATGAAGCCGCACTTATATTTGCATCCTTGCTTTCAATAACTTAGCATTTCTGGTTCTTACAAAATACTTCTTATTTTTGTATTGGTTTTACTCCTCAGTTTGCAGTTTGAGCTTTGGCAGCTGAATACATAAAAATGACATTTTTAAAGACAGCTGTATACGTCAGTCTAAGAAAATTCAAATGAGCAATCCACCACAACTATGCATTCATTAGCGGTCTCTGTTTGCCATGAAATCATCCAGCAGCAAAGATTCCTTGGTGTTACTGTTCTCCCCTCACTCATAACCCCTCAAAATACTGAAGGAACTCTCCCTCCCACTTTGCAGCCTGGGTTTCCTGGTTAGATGAAAATTGCATGCATTCATTTGGGCCACAGTACAGTCAATGAGGGTGACAGAGCACTGGCACAGGCTGCTCCTGTGCAACCTGCTCTAGGTGAACCTGCTTTAGCAGGGGGATTGGACTAGATGATCCCCCGAGGTCCCTTCCAACCCCTGCCATTCTGTGATTCTGTGTGAAATCAGCTTTATAACCCAGTAACACACCTTTTATGCATCACTCTTCAAACCCTACCTTTGCCAGTTATGTTCTAAGTGCAAAGAACAGAATGGAAACCTCCGATGACATGTTAACTCCAAAATATCAGCTAGCTAAAAATTGTTTCCAGCCAACTGACCTTAAGATATGAACATCTCACTATTTATTCCATAGCTACTAACCCCACCTTTATAACCCAGTAACACACCTTTTATGCATCACTCTTCAAACCCTACCTTTGCCAGTTATGTTCTAAGTGCAAAGAACAGAATGGAAACCTCCGATGACATGTTAACTCCAAAATATCAGCTAGCTAAAAATTGTTTCCAGCCAACTGACCTTAAGATATGAACATCTCACTATTTATTCCATAGCTACTAACCCCACTCCAAGAAGATATTTTACTTTGTGCACTTTCACATTCACAATTATCCAGTGAAAGCTTCAGAATGCCTTTTCTTTCTTAGAATTACAGATTTTCAGTATAATCTACAAGAAAAGCTGGACAACTGAGAGACTATCAATATTTGAGTTTTCCAATTCATCCTGCTCAGCATTAAGTATTAATCCCCCCTTAATTTTCCTGCAAGAATTGGGACCAAAGTGAGAAACATGTTCCAAGACACTTAACACAGCAAGTTGCAGCAGACCTGTGAGAGCTACGGACCAAGAGAAACAACTTTTTTGATGCAATTTCCTTTACCTCTCAGGATGTAGTTCTGATAATTCTGGTCAGCCTCTGCTCCCACTTTGATTAAGCAAGTCAGACCTTCAGCGACAACAAACTCATGAACCAAGTCCTTGTCATCCTGCCACAGGAGAGAGGAAAAGCTGTGTTAGAATTTTGAAAGACAAAGAAACAGGATATGTCATAACGTAAAACCAAATGCATGCCTGCAACATTGACTTTATGTTTCAGATTATGTAAGCAAGTTGATATGAAAGTTGTTATGTGGGAGACCAGAAGCAGAATTCTGAATTTTAAAATCAGAATTAAATACACTGATGCAAAGCAAGAAGAAACAAGATTTTACCTTTAAGTCATCTACAGAAGAATAATATCCTAAACCATGACACTTCATTTTTTCAGTAAGGGCTTGCAGACATTCTACCTGATACTAAAATCTCATCATATCACGTGAACAGACATCCTTGAAGTGCCAGTATCAACAAGAGAAGGCCATCTATGTGCCATCGCATAATTCCAGTTTCAGTATTTGAAGTCCATAAAACAAAACTTTTAAAATTTATGTTTATTACAATGTAATATTATATTCATCATCTTAACGTAGTATTAATTTATTATATTTAGAACAGGAAAGTACAGTGTTTAATGTAAGAACACTAGTAGATAATATAGTCACATATTATTATGGGAAACAGCGAATGTAAGAGAAAATACTCCTTGGTGTTTGATAGGAGTTAAACTTGTTAAAGCGACTCTTTTTGTGTTTAACCATCAGTCCTTTACTCAGCACAGCAGCATGATCCCATATCACATACCAGGGAGAGGAGGGCTTTGCTGGGTGCTACATGCATAATACTATGCCAAGGGACTATAGAGCACCATATCTAAAGCTTGCCTTCTCCTCTTACAGAAGGCTCATGTAGACAAACAAAAGGCTACTAAAAACTTGATTAAAAGGCACTTAGTGAATTAGGCATACAAATTAGGCACAAAACCAATTTAAAATATTAATGGAAGAGAACTACTACTACTATCATCATAGTTGCAGAGTCCCTTCTTTTGATTAATTTTCATGTATGTTTTAATATACAACAGTGTACTAGATAGAAATTTCAGCTTTCCAATAACACAGCCCTGAGAAGCCAAGATCCAGACAGCACGCAGTTTTGCTGAGAGTGATTTTTGAATTCACTGCATACACTTAGAAAACTGCCAAGGGAAATTAAATAATAAAGTCCCTCTTAGTGTGACAATTCACTTATTGCAAAGTTCTTTCAGCCTGACAGATTATTTCTTATGAATTTCCTTCTTTCAGCAGAGCTAAGTTACATAGTTCTTAAAGACTGACCAAATGGGATATTTAAAATTGTAAGGTGATCTAGCAATTCGTAAGAAGTTTAGAATTTATGAGAAAAATCTGTTTAATGTTTCAGGAGAAGGTCAAATTTGTTAAAAGAGTTTAAATATATTTTAGAGTCATATTTATCCTTTAAGAAGTATATAAAGAGAAAGCATGCAATCATTCCCTACATCTTTGCAGAAGTATACCTTAAACCCCCAAAATATTAAGATAAAATCCACCGCTGTGCACACCTGAGCTAAAAAATGTAGTTATTACTTAGTCTCAATGTTTTATTTTTTGAGAGTGTTATTTTTTTCTTTAGACAGATAAAAGCCTTGATAATGATTCCTGAAGAGCTAGGAAGTTTACAAACTCCCATGTCGGACCAGGGCACTACAGACACAAGCACTCAATTTTATCAAGATGACCATTTTGCTCTATCTATCCATTTGCCATACTCAAAACATGATGGGATTACTGGTAGAGCAGAGGAAGAGTCCACAGACAACCTACCTGTTAATACAGATGGCACTAATCACATCCTGATTTCCTCTGTTGTGTGTAACGGTGTTTTATAGGTGCAGGCACAGATCCCCCTCCCCACTGCAGCCCACCAGGGAATTCCCTTTGCTGTTCCAGAAGAGAACTGAAGAATTAAGACAGCTGTTTACATTGAGCAGCTAAGGACCTTTTCACAGCAGGGGACCTTTGGCTGGCACAGAGGCAGCTGTACCTTTGGCCAAGCTGTCAACATAAAGAGCATGTCACGATGCACAGGGCCCTAGGAAGGGGCACGGTCAGCCAGGACATGTAGACCTCTGCCTGTCCCATCCCAAGCAGTGGCCTCTGGCAGAACCCTTCCCAAACACCACTGCGGAGAGGACCGAACTCTTAATTCTGAAGCAATTTTTCTCAAGTTAATTTGTGCAGCAAGCGATGGCAAAATTCACAAGGTGAACTTTCAGAACAACATTTGACAATGACTGTAGTCCTGGAAAAATAAGAAAAAGGACACAAGGCTTTCTGATGATCAAAGCCATATCTCAGGTTCATTCCCCTCAAGCTCAGGCTACTTGATTTAAAATCAAGCAACTACAAAAAAAAAAAATACATAAATACGCATGCATGCAATACACAGATCCAAATCACACTGGATACCAAGCAACATTCAAGCTCACCTTGTACAATGGAGAGTCACCTCCAACAGAGCAGGGAGGCAGAACCATACCCAGGGACCCCAGAGGAGTCTTCTCCCCGGCCACCCCTTGGACCCAAGCAACTGTTCCCTCCCATACATCGCTTTGGATACTGTGTTTTTAACTCAAAGAAACTTGAGCAATTCCTCTTCAAGAATTGTCAGGCTTGTTTCTCCTAAAACTCAAAAGAGGGAAACACATCCCTGGAGTTTGTCAGCTAAGCTTCAAGCATATTCAGGGTTCAGGTACACTAAGGCAAGTACCCCAAGTACTCCATGGTAATTCACAAGGGATTTGCGCATCTAGAAAGTAAGTTACACTGTACACCAAGGTCAACAGTTAAAAATTCCCAGCTACTAAAGAGAGAGGCTGCCAAATTTCCCCTACCCAGAGCAGGCAGTGGTGGGAGCAAGGGCAAGGGACAGAAGGACAGAGGATTCAGAATTTAGAAAAACTAACAGGAATCAGTAGCATAGTGCAGAATCAAGAAAGCTGTGGGGAAAGCATCCTCCAAAATAGTTTCTCTACAAATCTGATGACAAATAGATGCATATTTTATCGGGCAACGCCATTGTCTCATTTAAGAGAAATAAGATGTATAACAATAAAAAATACTGAGTCAAGTAACCACAATTATTTTTTCAGACTGTAATGGTGTCCTAACTTGGGAGTACACTTCCTTGTTCTTTAAATGCTTTTTTATTCATACTTGAGTACGTATTTTGATTTTGCATCAAGTGTGTTTGCATCATACTTGAGTTGAGGGGGGAAAAACCCCACACTATTCTATATGGACTCACAGTAAAATAAACAAGACTGGAAAAACAGGTAAAAGGAAGAATAACTATGGTCTATGGATTCTGACATTTGTTAATAGACCTAACATGTTTCTTTGGGAAAATTAAAAGACATTTGGATGACACACACACACAAAAAAAGTCCCTATGCTAGAGAAGTTAGCAGTAGTTCAGCTTCAGAGACCTTCAGGTCAAACCCAAAAACAACAGAAAACTTTTAACAGCACATAGCCATTAAGGGCTGTTGCCATCCAGTGAAAGATAAAAACTGAAATACCCATTATAACTTTAAGATGTAAATGCATATTGGACTATCACCTGGGGCAAAATTAGCATTTAATTCTCAAAATACCTAATGCTAAAGATCTGTTTTATATTGCTGACTTTTTTTTTTTTTTTTTTTTTTTAAAAAACAAGGACCATCCCAAAGCAAACTGTGAGATCTGCCTTCTGGAACTTTTTCAAAGCAGCTGAAGGAGTAAACAGCGGTGGCACAGACTAATCCTTGACTGAAAGGAGATACATTGCAGGGCAACAGCAGAGGAAATGAAGGGGACGAGGGACTCTAACCAGACTGCTTTTGGAAAGCATTGAATAAACAAATCAAACCTGAATTAAAAAAGGCTTTTAAGGTACTTCTCCTGTCCCAAATAAAAGGGAAAAAGAAGGCGTAATGAAGTGGAGTACAAACACATCATGCTCTAGACATAAATCTGAACTCAGTACGTTATCTATCCCATCACGTGTATATGACGAGAGGAAAGAAGCAAACATCTGGAATGTGCAAAGAAAGATGAAAGGCATCCAAGCCCATACGTTCTACACTGAAAGAAGAATGTTTACATCAATTTTGATCTAGGATAATCTTTTCAGACCCATTAACTCACTGACTTGCCAAGTAAGGTGACCTCAAGAGTAAAAGCTACACTCTAGCCGCGGTAAGAGGTTCAGGTTTCCAGGAAAAGAGCATTCATTGTTCAGAATATATGGTGTGTGTGACAATGATATGTACAAGTAGCTGCCGCATGTGTGTGATAACAGTTAAAAGGAGGCAGGGAAAGGTTGTCATATGCTATGGAAATGGACTCCTCCGCTAATATCGCAAAGATTTATGACCCCTTAATCAGCAGGCATTAAAGCACTGATGAGAAAAGCAGCAAAACACAGGCAAAGCTCTCTAAGCTTCCTGCTAAGCTCCTGCAACCGTAATGACTGTGCAGTGACACAACGGCTGGCTACTTAAAGTCTTTATGAAAAGATACCAGTGGCCTTGTCAGATAACTATATTTTATGCCTTCATACACAGATTTGGAACAGATGGCATCTTTTCCTTTCTTCAGGCATCTCAGAAGGAAGAAACAACAAAAAAAGCATATGTTGCTTTGTAATAGAGCTCTATTTTTGTCCAATGTATAATGAAAAAGACGTTAACTATATTCAAACTGAGTGAGTTCAGAGCTTGCTTAAGTGGTTGACAAAATGCACAAATGATACTTTCACCTGCATAACTCAGCATAGCTATTAAAAAGACCCCACAAACCCTGTGATCAAGCAGTCTATACAGCACGCTCATGTGCCACCAGCAGAATAAGAAGCATCGGTGGGACTGTCTTCTTTCCTACCCGTTCTCCTGTCTCTGTACCATTTGATACATTCCCTACTGCAGTTTTGCAGGGTCACATCTGAAGGTGGAGGCTGAAGACTTTTTTTTCAAGGAATCGTACTTTGCAAGAATGCATCTTTATCTGACATGCAGCTTCCACGTGCAAAGATAAATTGTTTACAT